CATTCCCTAAATATTAATTTAAATGTTCAAAAATTAATTAAAGCAATGGACAAAATGTAGTTTTTAGCGTTATCAGTTTCCTTGCCGGAACCAAACAAATTAAATTGGGGGAAATCCGCACATAAACAGTTTTTTTCTTGGGGTGATTGGTGATTAGAGTTTGGGTTGGCAGGATTACAAATCACCACATTGTTCGTTCCTTGAATTTTAGTTTTCAAATTTTTCATCAAGGTTTAGTCATTGACAACGAGTAAAGCGTAGAAAAGAACTATCCAATGATCAGTCACAATCGTTCCTTCCAGTTAGGTAAAGTTCAACTAGAGAAATGAATTACGTTGCTATGAATTATATTGAAAACATGTTCCAACCTTCTGACTTCCAACTTACATTCCGTACGTCGAGCCTACAAATGCTTAGAACTGCTGACGAAAACCTTACTCGTGTCGTTCTTGTTCGTGTTTCACAGCCATAGTAATAAACGAACTTGCAGAATGATTAGAAAAAGGATTACTCGCATTTGTTTAGTTTTTGATAACAGTAGCTTCTTGTCAATTGTTTATATTGCAAGTGCATCTAAAAGTACATCATTTGTAGCTTGAAATTGTATCCTAATGAACCCGATACAAAAGCCTTCATCATCGTTATGGTCTACCAAAACCATTAATGAAACCGCGATGTCTGTGAAAGGTCACGGAAGCTCACCGGCTCGTTTCTTTAAGTGAGAATGAGTTGATAATACAAATTTTGTCCACTTTTAAAGAAGTTTTCCCACAGCCAGTTGACCAATTGCTTTGTTCGATTTGCTGAGTGAAAGTCAGAAACCCAGAAAATGCCATTCTAGTTGGCTAAATGCGGTTGAATTTTGACATATGTTTGAATTTTAGGGCTGGTTGTTTACATGAGGTCTAACCCAAAGCATGGTTTTTCGCAATCAGTGGGTCTCAAGTTTTCTCCATAACAGGGTTGATTTAATGAAATAAATGTCGTTCCTCCGTTAGCTTTCGGCCCTCTTGACTCTGTTTACAATAGAAGTGTTCATATTAAAGGTCCAGCTAAATTGGAGCTTGTTTGGGCCGCGGTTTTTTCAAACAACGGCCAAAGCTTTCTTTAGATAATCGGCCCTAATTATATATCAGTTTTGACTGAACGTAAAAATGGAGATGGTATTTTCAACGTATCAGCCGTATGCGCGCTATCGATTTGTGGTAACTTGAACCCTTTTCATAAAAAAAGGATGATTTCTCAAAACGATAGAATGTGATTGTAGTGCTACTAGGTAGTAATGTTTTTTAATACCTATTCTTCCTTAAAAAATTAAAAGAAATGTGGATAGCTGTCTGTGACTGTAAAGCCCTTTGTTTCTCCCTATGAGCGTGACACTCCGAAAAGAGAATAACCAACTTGGATTTTGCAAACAATTTCGGGACGATCGCTTTGAATAATTGTCTTGGTTACCTTGGTGAACGACGCTGCGTGGTGACTGGTACCTGTTGCTTTCAACAAGGTGTGAAAGTGCTTCAACAATGGGTTGCAATTGGCTGCTACGAACATCAATTGATGTTTAATTTATATGAGTGACGGGTGGAGTAAAATTCATGGCCCCTCCCTTTGGACACATTATGCATTATGAATTCGGCATCCTCTCCTGACCAACCAACCGAAACCATATCGAGGGGACATTTGCTTTTTCTATTAATATTAATTAGCGTGAGAAATGCTTGTGATGTTGCTATGGACAAAGTAGCGTGTTTATAGTTTAAAAAAGTTCGCTTATAGCAGCCACATTAAGTATTATTCTCAGAGAACTTTTTTCCGAAACCCAAGACTTTTGTGGTTCTTTATGAGTGGCCTGAAGATACTATAATTACTTCAGAAGAAAACGCAATTTTCCCGCTCACGTGCATGATACGTTGTTCATCTACAGTGCAAGAGACAGGCAGACAGTTGGAATCAATTTTGTCGGCGCCTATGGGATTTGTAGCTGTTGTTATTTTAGTGCTTGGAGTACTTGTAATGTGTGCCACTGCAGGACTAAGCTGGATTGTGTCTTGGTACCCAATGTAAAGGAAACACACACCACTGTGAAATTCTGGATTTCGAGCGTCTGACATGAGGGACTCCTGGACATAAACTTGTTTCTGTAGCAAAAAAAAATCATTATATTTCTCTCCGGGCTCATCGAGTGCTTTACTTTAATCATTCCGACGATTTTTACTATTATTTGTTTGGTTGCATGTTTTTTTAGTCGACGGAAGAGTTGATATGCTTCCTTAGTTCAGTTCATAAGTTGTGCAACGCATTTTTATCTTTGAATTCTTAGAATGCGAAATGAACCTTCAGCTCCATATGAGGCTGAAACGTTAGCGTAGTTTTCATAAACTTTTACAAATACGCTTAATTCGGGAGCTTTTTTCATGTTACTTGCGAGGGAACTCTTATTTTGCATCGCTTTATTGAAGCTGGGTTTCACTATTAACTTGATTTCAAGTTGCAGGTTGTTATTCAACTAGTACCTGTTAAGATTCCGTTATCACTGTGGTCGTCTTATGGGTTGGAATTCGTAACTGGGCTTCGATGCAGAAAGACTCTTTTGTAATCGTGTACTGGCGCGAGAGAAAAAAATATGATAAAAGAAAAGTAGAAGAAGCTGACTTGCCCCTGATGACCAATGAAACAGATTATTAGACATCTGTATACAAGCCAGAGGAATGTTTAAAAGCGTGGGATTGGGACAGGAAATGAGAAGGTTACATACAGCTCTGTGCACAAATCTGCTTTTACTCTATAGCCATAGGTGACATTTATATGTAACAGTTCTGCAGGTAGTCACTCAATCTCAAGTAAGTGCTTCACACTGATCTAAATGCTAATATGGCTCAGCCAAATTCTCTCCCCTACATCGATGTCACTCTTAAGACTCCCTTACCGCTTTTTAACTGCGGACACAAATATGCATTTATATTTGTCAAATACTGCGATCAGACACTTTCTTATAGGAACAGTCGGGCATTTAGTTCTTAACCATGTAAATTCGTCTTTCAGTAGTCTTTATTTGAGCCTTCAAAATATTTGTAACGTTCTGTAGAGCATCCGCGAGTAATTTCCAATTTTATCGATTGCAAGGCTTGGCTTCGGTAATTAAAATGTTGATGTTTGTGTAACTGCAAGAAGGATTTGTATCGTATATACCGACTCTCATCATCTGAACACCGGAGTGTCCTTATTAAAGAGTTATCGTGGGCACGCTTGGTAACTAGTTACTGTGAGCTTACATTTGCATTGATGACATTTTAAGTTTGAAAAAAAAAGACTGTTAAAAGGGTGTCGAAATGTCCTTGAGGTTTGTCAACGAAATTTTTTGTCGTTAAAGTGGGTGGATTAGTATATTTTTTTTTGGTCGGAAACTTAAACGGCCAGGGCAACAATAGTTCTCGAAATTATGTGAAATATATTCTGAAAGAGCCAAATGTATATGAGGTATGTCCAGCTAGCAGACAATCACTCAATAACCAATATCTAAGAAGTCCAGGATTTGTATTAACCCAGTTAAAAAACACCTACCTTAAGGAGGCTAACAATACAATTGCGCCCATATTTTCATTGAAGGAATCCAGCCTTTCAGCTGATCGTCCAGTGCAAAAGCTGATGTTTTAATGACGGCATTCCGCACTGCAGCTAGTATGTTATGTCAAGATGAATCCGCGTACCGGACCCCTGAAAATTATTATAATTCGTCGTAAAGTTCGCTGAAGAAGAGTTTTCTTTTACAAAAATGGTGCCTTGCTCCTCAATAATTACGCTCCTAAGATTCCCATTTCAATCAGCTCCTTAGAAAAACTACGAAAAAAAAAGGGCTCCTAAACCATTCCAAAACCAAATTGGCTAAAATTCTTCATGTTACAGTTCTATATTTAATGAATTTGTGCGACAAATTTATTCATAAAACATTGATGTTCTCGCCTAAAAATGTTCTTGTACGATTTACAGCTTTTTAAAGCAATTGGTTTTGGGGAGGGAGGTTGCCATTTTTCGGTGGCATAGATCGACCTTTTTCATCCAAAATCTTGCTTTGGCTCTTCCTTCTTTTCAATGGCATTCTTGTTGTTGTTCTGTTTTACTCTTTTCGCGAAAGGAAAGAAGGTCGAGTAGACAAGGACTAATGGGCACGTAGTTTCACGAATATTTGACATTCTGGCGATGTATGAAGACCTTTTTTTAAAAACTAATATCAGCTCTCCCTGATCCCGTTTCCAAATTTTCTGGGAAAAGATATGTTGATTTAAATTATTCAAATTATCTATTCATTTTAAAATGGTTTTTTCTTCTTTTTTTATCCAAAGAAAAAATTACCATCTGACTCAAATTGCACAATTTTGTGGTTTTTTTTTTTATAAGTAAAAAAGAAAATCTATTCTATCTAATCTAACAAGGTGCTCTTTTTAATAAGTTTTTCACAGCAGTGGAGCTGAGCCGTAAAAAAAATAATTGGGGAACAGTCTCAGCTCGAACTCTGATATATCACACAAGCACACGTTAGCTTTCGTTAGCCGGGTATCAATGTTCTGTTTCGTAACTATTTGAGTGTCAAATATTGTCAAATATTGTCAAATATATTAATCAGATAATGCTACAATTCCAAATTTTTCATGATGATTTCTGTTTCACTAATGATAAATATCTGAGAAAAAAAAACAATAAAGAAGACTTCCCCCTGCGAGTACATTTATAATGCTAATTATTTAATTAAGAAGCATGGAGGTGAATGTCATTAACAAAGCCGGTTAATATAACAGCTCCTCCTTTGCAATCTATGAGCAAGACTAGTTTTCAACCTACTTCATAGCCTGGTCACCTGAGCTCTTATTGGTTCTTTTTGAGCAGAAATACGCAAAAAAAAAACAAAAACACCAACAGGGTCAAGCAAGATTAATAATCACTAGTTATTATGTGGTCTATTTTAGACAGCGGGAATACCAATTTAATTGCAACAGGAGACGAATGGAGCAGTAAAAAGGGCAAATTAACAGAAAGGAAAGCATAGTTTATTTGCTTTGGGGCAGTCAAGAACTAATTTTAAAACATATAACCGTGTAACTGAGTATTCACCATGGGTTTTTACAAAATTGTTCTGCTATTTTGCCTCATCGTTACTTTAGCAACACGCTTCCCGGAAGCTGAGACTCGAGCTATTTCAGAGGAAGAATCCCTAAGTAAGTGTTACCTTCTTTGTCTCATTATGTTTTGCAGTTTTCCGTTTTATACTTGTAATTCTGCATAAAAATATTTCGAAAGCAAAATCCTCGGAGTAAGAAAATAGGATTAGGGGGGAATCAATGGAATAGCCACGCTTTTTATTTCTTCAATTGGGATTATGAAACAACTACAAGTTCAATCCAAATTTACAGATAGAACTTAAGGTTTTTCGGATACCCGAGCTCGAGGAAAGTTTTCGCTTAGTATTTCCGTAATATGTCTACTGGTATTCTCTTTGTATTTCCTGATTCTGTAGTTTTCTGTTATACTTCGATCATGTGAAAGACGAAAAACAGGCGTCTTCCACGAAGTGTACATTTAATACTGGGTTATAGCGCCCATCCCAGTTAAGTAACATCACCGTCACCATGACATAATCTTTTCTTTGAATAATTGGTTAATCTAATTTAAACTACCTCCCACTTAGGAGTATCCAGATAAGAAAATAAAAGAAAACAAAGGGTTTAATCTGCCTCGCAGCGCGGTGCGACCCATGTCGAACGGAACTTGAGCACCCCTCGCGATAACGACTATACACCAGTTAAAAAAATATGACTGGTTTATTAACCGACGGATCCAACTACTGCCTTATATTTGGCACACACTCGGAAACTCTGAAATGTCACGCGCTACGCAATGCATGCATGCGCGGGATTAGATGCTGCCCAAATGTCGCGCTCCTTGCTTCTCTCCTGCATTTATCTGCCAGTTTCGCCGATGTGGACCTTCCCACTCTTATAAGGAATCCTGTAGACTACGCCATCCTGTTTAGTCGGGTCCTACTAGGTGTGATCGTGGCGTAGTCTCTGACTTGAAGACAGCGCGTATGTTTTGTTGTTGTAATCAGCGGTGAAGTTGTTGGGAGAGGACTTTGAGCATACTCAATCGACCCTATAGCCTGAAGAAGACTAGCAGCGTGCACTTAAATCGTTGCGATCCAAATCGGACGTGACCTTATCGTAACACAAAAGATTATATTTCTCTTTTGAAAGTGTTGTTTTAGTCCTCTTAGGACTGTTTCGGTGTGTTATTATACTTATTGTAGAAGTAGAAGAGCCGGATGGGAAGATATTTGGCCCGAGGTCATGGCGTACAGCGAATAGCGAATAGAGTAAGAATAGTCTCCTTGCGTGTGTATTATGATAACCCCTTATCTCTTGATAACCATGATTATAGCCAGAAAAACCTCTACATAAACAATTTATAATAAGTATAATTATACGTTTTCGTGGGATTTCTTGGGGGGTGGATCCAACCCTCACTGGTCAGCATAAAATCAATTTTTTTTGCAAATTTTATTTGCAGTCGAACCAGATGATGCTCATTTATCAGATGAACGCCGAGCTGTCCCAGGTTAGTTGGTCTTTAACTTAACAACATATCACGAAAGGTGTAAATCAAGGTGTTTGGAAACGATTTTGTGCTTTTTAACAAGGTCAAATAAATTAAGGCTTAACGAGGAGATGACTGTTCAGTTTACACTGATTTGATTATTTTAGAGCTTAATAAACCTTATCCATCCCAAATGCTGATGGCCTTTTGTAGTTCGCACAAAATTCAAGAGGTTTTAAGCTCTATCTTAAGGAAGATCAAGGGTTCAAGATAAATAACAATCAAGAAGCAATCCGAGTACTGTCATACTATCTACACTGCGACAACAAAGCAAGAGTGCAAAAATTCCATTTTTCAAAAAATTTTTGCGATATTATTTCTCTCATAGTCGTTATATTGTTATTTACCAGCTGATTCAAAACATCATTTCTGAATACGTCCTTATCTCAAATTGAAATCAGCATATACACCGTGGAACTGAAGCCATATCTAGTTTTGCATAGCTGAACGATGTTTTATTATTGTATGTTCTGCAGCCTGTTGTGCTTTTCATTGTTTTAGAGTGAAATTTTTTTCAGGAAATGAGGAAATGAAATAATTTGTAGCTTTGACACACTCACAATATATTGATACATGTAGCTGAAAAATTTGTGCTTTGACAAGGATTTTATTTTCCTTTCTTTTTCAAATGCTATAGACACTCGTTATACAGTGTCGTACTCTTGAATGATATCACAGTTAATTATATATGTGTGTGTATATATATATATAGAAAGTCTGTGTATTGATTTTTCCGGGGTGTTTTACAGGGCTCGATACGTAGAAGTAGAGCGCGATATATATATATATATATATATATATAGATATATAAGATAAAAAACGCGCCGAGTGCACTGTTGAGTTCTATAAGCACTTGGGAATTTTAAGAACACGAGCGAAGTGCGGAGAAGCACGAGCCGAAGGTGTGTGCTTTTTGTGCTTCTCGAGTGTCCTAAATTCCCAAGTGCTTATATAACTCAACAATGCTCGAGGAACAAGTTTTTTTATTTCCTTTATAAAATGTATCGTGAATTGCGCGCGCCCATACCGATGACGTGGGCTGCGTGCATTATATCTCAACAGTGCACTCATGTGACGTAAGGCACGTGCTTAATGGAAATATAATGAACTCATTCTGACCAATCACGGCGCGCGTATTTCTCTGAACACTTTATAAATATAAATATGTTGAGAAATCAAATAAAAAAGAATCTTCAAAAGGTTTAGTCTAAGAGAATAGAGGAACTCAAGCGTTTATCCACGTAAACAGCAGTCCCTCCTTTTCGGCGAAGTCCGGCGCGCGGGTCAATAAACCGGAAAAAGATTGATGTCAGTCGCCGCGCAGAACTCTGGGAATGAGGTGTAGGAAAAGTAGGGCGTCTTGTTCAAAGATTTCCGTGGAATGCGCTTTAATTTATTTTTGCTGATTTTTTTCACTCGCGCGGCAAACTTCGCCACTTATACCCCACTCGACGTGAGCAGTAAAAGAAAACTATATAATTTTTAGTTATCCGATAATTGTGTATGCAGCAGTTTGGTCTTGAAGCGAAAGTGTTTTTGAGCGGCTGAAATCCATTGAATTCAGTTACAATGATTCTGCCCTCTTCGTGATGATAAAGAGTCAGTATTAACCCACTTCAAAGTTTTTTCTTGATTTACTGAATCCTAATTGATCCTGAATTTTGTTTAAGGTTGCCATGACGAATTTTCGCCAACTTTTTGCGAAAGATTCAAAAAATTTTGCTCAGCCTATGGTACTAATGGCTTCCTAATGAGAACCAAATGCTACTTCTCTTGTGGCTGTGTGAGGTAACGTAATTATACCAAGAGATTATAAACTGTTGAACTATACGAAGATCAATGCTTTGTGTGCCCACATCTCACTCCTCGGCCCACATTCCCCCTCTCCTACGATGTGATTTCGCAGAGGAGAAAGCTGGAACTACCTGGTTACTATTGGTTGGTTTAATGTGCTGTCTATTATCTGGTCTATTCCTTTTACATGATACAGCCGGGCAACTCTGGAAAATTCTGATTCGTTTTCATAGGCAGCCTAAGGAGGTTAGCTTGATGTTAGCCTTATATACCCACTCTCTTTCGTCCTCAATACAAACTGCGCGTGTTATGCTTTAAATTTTAATTATGTACCCTACCCTGCGTGGGCAAAACATCGATGCAAATGTTAGCTTAGAAACTGTTAAAGTCGTGTGTTTTATACCCTCTGAAGCCTTATTTTTCTTCCATAAATTTCCAAATATTCACTCTTGAATGACTAGAAATTTTAAGAGGAAATATGTTTAAACTAAACAATTTTTTCCTTCTTGCAGAAACATCTGAAATGGACTCTAAATTTCTTCCTAAAAGAGAGATACCTCTCCTAAATGTGAAAATGAAATAAAGAGCATATTAAGTCAATGCTTTTTGCTTCAATTGAAGTTCAACGTGTGTACTTTCAACTGAATACCATGCATGAGAGGTTTACTATCAAGGGTCGAAGGTAATCTTACAACTTATTTTCGGAGACAATTGAAATCATAAAATAAAATGGTTCGGACTCCCACGTTTTCATTTCAGTCACGAATTTAATCAGCATGTGGTCCGCGTTTTTAGTTTTAACCTACTTTTGTCAAATGACAATCCAGAATATTCAGTCATTCGATCACATTGAGTGGCTGGGAAAACAGGTGAGACAAACGCCAAGAAATAGTTGTGCGTTTGTTTTCCTTGGACGCAATTAAAAGATTAAGACTAGAATGTTCTTTAAGTTATTCTATATTCACTTCAATTTCCACTGCTTTGAATTTCAGAAAAAGCAAATCATAACGAAACGATACAAATCAAAATAAAAAGAAACAAAGAGAATCTCTTAGAGGATCCTACGGCGTTTCTAGGTATGTGCGCCCACCAGCTCCTCAAACTGAAAATGAAGAATCGGTGCTATCATTGTTGTTCTGATTTTTTTTTCGGAATATTATTACTTCATACCAACTACAGAATTTGATTCGCGCAGATTTGCAAGGTGTACAGAAAGCCTCCAATTCTCATTTCAAGAATAAAATACTTCGTTATCTTAGGAGTAATCATATTATATTTTTTTCTTGCCTGCGTTTTTTCTTAGTTGTTCTCATATACACCCAGGGTCGTACAGATCATTTGCCGTACCACTTTTGAAGCCAAGGCAGAGTCGTACTCAAACACACAGCTCTGTGACTCAACCTATGACAATGCACACAACATTCTATTTCAGCGCACCAAACCGTTTTTTGTCGTCAATAATAAAAAAAAAAACATAGTAATCTTCAGCCGATGAAATTAAAAAAAGAAAAAAATGAGCTCAATGAAACTGCCTGAGAAACTGCTTATACCGAAGTTCGGCGGCTTTCAGTCGCCTTATGGATTGTTATTTATGATAATTTGGAAGATGAAATGAAACCCGAATTCAATAACAATTTTAACTTACGATCTGTATCCAAATATATTGTTTTACCTTTTTGCGGTTGCCAAATGTAAATCAGAATTATTTGAAACTCATGGCAAAAGAAATACCTGGTAGATTTTTTGATCTTATTTAAACGACGGCACCGCCAGAGACGGTTAAAAGTTCTTTACTCAATAAACATAGTTCGTATTTTCGAATGATTAGATTTTTTTGAGGTACGTTGGTGGCTGATAAAGTAAGCGGTCTCCCAGGGTTCAGTGACGAATCTTTACATAAAGAACAGCTCGATCATCACGAGAAGGTTAGCCATCGGTAAAAAAGATTGTTTATGAGCGGACTAGACACTGTTTAACACTTTAGTGTTTAATCAAAACGATTAGCTTCCCCTCATACAGTCACAGCGGCTCTCCATTAAAGAAAGAGCTTCTAAATTGAACTACGACTGTTTCATCGCAATTGCAAAATGTCGCTCCCTTGCTAATATAAGATGGTTTCAATCTTGGTTTAAAAGAAACTGAAACAAAAGATTAATACACAATGGTAATCGCTCCCTGGTATTTCGAACTGCTGGACGTTGTCAAAGTAGAAATAACGACCATATGATCTTTCAGAATATAAATTTATTTTTGGACTCATATTTTTGTGCAATTGGGTTTTTACTGACCAAGATGTTTCAGCTCGTACTCATTATGAGTAGAAAAGAAAAAAAACAAGAGATTTCCAAATTTGCTTGACACTTTCCTTGTTTTTTTTCCTCTTTCTTTACAAGCCGGCCTGATGAATTAATAATTACATATGGTTTTTTCTGGGCGTCCCCCAGCGCACACTTAAAGTTAGCAGCACCGGAAAAAAATTCTTTCAGATTGTTTTTAGCCGCCCCCAAGGCTTTTTAATATGTGCTTTTTACTTGGCGATATAAATTCTCTGTGAGATACACAGAAGGAGCGGAAACCTTTTAACTTTTAATTTTAAGAACAATCAGTAAACATTTCAAAATTTTCTTTCACTGGTGCGTAAAAATGATTCTTTAATTTTTCAAAGAAGTTCTTCGATAGACTCAACTATCTTTGGTCTAATGTGAATGTTGTATCGTTACGCTAACTACGTGAGTGAACACAAAACTTCAAATTGAAGATGGAAACATGTCTAAAAACAAATTAATTTCTGCCTCGAGATAACAATCGTCTTTTAATCTTGCTGCTAAATAGGTAATTGCTTTTTAATTCATGCGATTCTTCGAAACCTGTAAAGAAAAGAAAAACACTCTATTCACACGTTTTAGATACGATGCTTGTCAATGCATCATCTCGGAAGTTCTTTAGGCGGATGTAATCTCTCATTGCCATTATACCGTGGGAACAGATACCTATGAAATTGCGTGTGTGAGATACCTCAGTCCGTATGTTGCCCTTCAGGTAATGCATAAGGTCGATGCAAAGAAAGAAAACTCGAGAACACAAATGTTTTATCACTGTGAAGTTATTGCGGGCCATGCTTTAACCATAATATTGTTTTCGAATTGAATTCAATATCAAAAAGAGTTAGAAATAATTCTTTTTCAGCAACCGAAAAATTTGTAACTGCGGTGATTATAATTTTATTACAATGGCTGTTTTAGTCATTTTGGCTGCGATCCGGTGAATTCCGCAAACCACTGCGACTCTGTGGGAACTGGTTTCAATGATTGCTCCCGCATTTTCTTTACTGTAGTGGCTTACCTCCATTAAACCAAGGTTGTTAGTCAAGGAGATTTTTCATTTTTTTCTGTCAGACTTCCAACAGTCTTTTAATCAAGACAGTAAATAATCCAAGTTTTCTTTACCCTAATGTTGTTTTCAGACAAAGACGCATTTTAACAATTACGATTATTAATGCCTGGAGCTAAAGGCTTTTAAAGCTTTTTATTTCCAATTTACTCTTCTGAATTCTAATTGTAGCTTAATTCCTTACCTTTGACTTCACAATAAAAGCAAACTCTCTTTCTCCAAAGTGTTGATTACTTTTCGATATACTCCCTTTCTAGTTCCCGCTTTTTTAAAAGCGGAGTTTGCGAAGGAAAACGAGGTTCCACCTTAATTTGTGTCTTAAATAAAATAGATGAACTAAATCTTTTTGAAGGGCGATTTTTTATTTTGATGAATGCAATGGATCGACGAAGCCTGCAGATTCATATTTTCATCAGATGAGTTAAACTGTTCGCCCACTCTTCGGCTTGTTAATTTGAAAACATCAATAAATATTTTTTCGTTTTTTATGATTCGCACATTATTTACAGGCCACAAATCGAAGTATAATATGGATTTGACAAGTTATTCTTACGATTAAAATCCACCTTGTTTCCGGTGCGAATATTCAATGAAATTCCACGTTGCGACACTGTTAACCAAGGTTTAATATCGTTTTCTTCTAAGCGCTTAATCTGCTTAGAGTTTAAAAACACCTTCAGATTCCACAACAGTATTTCATTTTTCGTCTTATCAACTTTATCATTAGGAATATCGTTTCATTCAGATATATACAAGATGGGTTTTGTTCATTTTGGGTCCGCAGCAAAAGATGATAAATCAAGATCTTTAGGGCAGAAATGTAAATGTATTCTTTATGTGTAGTAGCTTAATTTTCGAGAGCCATCGCTAACAATGTAATTTCGAAAACGTTTCTCAACACAAAGTAAATTCTCTTTGTTTTTACTAGGAACCAAATTAAATATGTATGAAAAATAATACGGAAAATATATGTGAAATCTTCCGAGATAAGCATTTCGAATGATTATGGAGAATTCGGTTCTTCCTTTCCCTTTCCTTGGTAACACCGACTTATTGCAGCTGAGGTTTTTAGAACAATCGCTCATCGATAGGCTTACACCAGTTTTGAGAGAGGAAAGAATAACACAGGCATAATTGAACATTGTGCAACGATCAAAATGAAACGAACCAGGTGGAGCTATGCTCGTGACGTGAACAATCGATAGCAAATTACATTGGCTAGTTCGCTGTTTGATATGATATTTATCGCTCCACAAAGCCGGACAACACTGAACACTGGAGAGTGGACCGATGACAATCTGGTTTGAGTTCTCCCAGTTTACAAGTGGTCAACGCGAGGTGAAAACATATTATATTTGATTAAACAAAAATATTTGTATTATATATCATACAAGAACACTTCCTGACATTATCACTTAAGTCAATCGTCCACCAGAGGCAGAACTAGACGCAGAAGAAGACTTGCTCAAGTGGTGAGATGGCCTCAATGAAAGTATTAGTTATACTCTTTGGGGCAATGCTGGTGCTGATGGAGTTCCAGAAGGCATCTGCAGCTACCTTGTTAGAGGATTTTGACGGTATGATATAACAAAACTAATTTGATTCTATACTGAGAGAAATTTATTGATCACGGATGGCGAAAGTTCCGTTTTATGTGTAGTGCGTAACTGGCGGTTGCCCAAAAAAAATAACGCCTTTTTCGTATTATCCTGAATCTCAAGTATACAATCCACCGCATGCATAAAACCTATTACAATAAAAACGACCTCTGAATTTAATATGCCGCGCTGTCATGACTCATGAGACCGTCCGTAAGAAGGGAGAACAAAAACTTAACGCATGAATTGCGAGGGTAACCTTAAGGATCTTAAATAAGATTTCGTGTTTTTTCACTTTCTTTTTCACACATTTAGATGATGATGACCTTCTTGATGACGGCGGTGACTTTGATTTGGAAGCGAATTCTGATGCATCAAGTGGCAACGGCAACGATTCAAACGACGCAGTCCCAGAAAAGCGGAGAGGTACGATCGAGAGAAAATGAAAATAAAAATGTTTTGTCAAGGAATTTGCTGATACAAACAAAAACTATTGTGGGAATTCGCAAACGAAATTGCAGCTGTTGGGATTGGTACAAAGTAATACTTTGGCAAAATTGTGGTTGATAGTTGATGAAATTAAACATTAATCTGTCTTCATATCGATATCACACGAGAAGAAGTTCTCATGCCTTAGGTCAGTTTTTCTCATTTTTCTCAAGAATCTAATATTCTGAGTAATTGAAATACATATTATTATTCAGATTCCCAAATTAATGATGCGGTTTAAAACCCAACGTATGAATTCTTAACGTTCATGTTTCAATTAAGCATACTGATTCGTGTGTGTGAAATGTCTTTCTATTTTTCGAGAGCTACGCTATCGTCTTGAAGGAATTTCACCGTCCTCTTCTTGATAAAATTTCTTGCTTACACTTGTTAATTTTTGTGTGAAAGCCAAACTGAGTAATCAATCACTTTTAAATTGAATGCGGTTTAAATATCATTATGGCATTTTTCCCGCCGCAAATCATTTTAGTTTATAATACAATGCGGATGAAAGCGAAGGTATTTAACTATGCTTAAGGTTGTTATGTCTTCTGAGTAATACAAAGAGACAAAGTAAATATTCAAAGAACAGTCCAGAACAATAATTTGATGGCTGAAAGTACATCAGCTTAACTTTACTACAATCGTGTTGTTACAATCTGAATCAGTAGCCTTGATATTGGTCATTATTACCTCATCATATTCATCTCATTCATGATATCTTTGTTTATTCCACAGCCTGCGCAGATTTACGCGGGAAGACTTTTTGCCGTCTCTTCAAAAGTTATTGTGATAAAAAAGGCATCAGAGGTCGGCTAATGAGAGACAAGTGTTCTTATTCTTGTGGATGCCGGGGTTGAGATCTCCAGGTACGTTCTTAGTTGTGTCATATACATTTATGTAGAGCTCACCATTTATACATGAATAAATAACAGTTGAAGAAAGGAATTAATTAATGAGCGACTAAACAAACGAACGAAGAACGCGCAAACAGACATGCGCATGGTAACTGACCGAAGGAAGACTTAATCGAATGAAGTTGAGAAGGAAACGAAAGAAGTTAGGAATGGAGGAAAAAGGAAGAGGGAGAATACCATGGAAGCCCTTGGAAAGGTCTTTATGCTTAGGTATCAGAATGGACAAAAGGGCTTGACAAACGGAACTTCGCAAACATTTTCCGTTGTAATGACATGGAAGTTAAATCACAGCTCTTAATTGGGAGTTGGCGGTGTTTGGCTACAACATTAATAAAGCATTGAGTTAACTCAGGAGAAAATGATGGAACAGCTACCCCATGATTTTCTTTTGGTTAATTCTAAACAGAACGATTCCTTTATTTTTCAGATACGAAAGATTAAGACGCGATGTTACCCACAAAAATGATGATTCAAGATTTCAAGAGACAAGAGTTAAATATAGCTTGAAAATATTTCCGTATTCTTCGAGGGGTACACTGTTTATATTATTCTGTTGTAAACATTGCCCTAACGATGCTAAAATAAACTATGATAGCAAAACATGAAACGAGCATTTCTTGTGAGTTCTGTAGTAATGTATTCGAGGATTATCTTTGCAAAGGTCGTGAAACAGTGGGTAAGCTTCATGGCTGGTTGTTTAATCTACAATCACATAACGAATCTCAACCAGCTTGACAAGTAATTTGTTTGATGACTAAGAAAATGAAGTTTAGCTATCAAAACCCTTTCAGAATTTCGGTATTTAGGTATCGCTGAATCCAAATAGAATAGAGCAATTATATTACCAGTTGTTACGTATCCGACAAAGTTTTCTAATCAAATATTTCATACATCTTGTCCTTCTTTTTGTGTTAGTGGTAAAGAGTGATAAAGTAAGAGTAACACACGTCAGAAACTCGGGCACGATGATCCTCACATCTCGATTTGCAAGGGAATTTTTTGTTTTAGGTTAAAACTAGACATAACATTCCTCAGAGAATATGATTCAGTAATACATGGATATGGTGGGATTTTTAACTTCATGCGGGTCCAATTTTTGCCGATTTAAGTCGGCTAACACTCTCCTGTGCATTATTTGATATAACCGCAGTCTTAAACAATAACCAACAGCCTTCGTAAAATGCCACTTATTTGTCGCAGGCTTTTTACTTTATAACGTTTTACACTCGTGAATTTGAAGTTGATGACAAAAGTCGTGGAAAAGTTGCTGAAAATTGGTCTTGCTAAGTTTCATTTCTGATGTAAAGAAATTTTATGTTTTATTGTGTATGTATTATTGGTGTATGTTTCCATGCTCTTGGAAACGTCAGCTAATAATTGATATAACTCGTAATCAACACCAAATGGACGTTGCATTGTAGTTCAATCACATGTCTCTTAATTTTCGGACAAAACACTAAACGAGCCCAATAAATTTTCCATTCTTTTCCTAAATTCAAAGTCTGATCCTAGGTTCATCATTATATTTTCAATAATGGTCCTCATTGTCAGAACTATGATACTTTTGAATAGTTACAGATGCGTCATGATAATGTCAGTACAGTTTGATTAATTCTATTCCTCAAAATGATGCGCACAAAGTAAATTGCGGGCAGCTTCTGAAGGCGTAGTAAATCGGTCGCTACGTTGAATATTCCCCTTTATTTACGCCGCCTTTGGAGAAGAATGCTTAATTGTCCTCACATATTGAAGGCCTCACAGGTACCGGCCTAGATAAGGTTAAGAAATGCTAACAGCACTTAGTCGAAAATGAGCCAGAAGGTTTTAATTGTTCAATTGTCTGATGAATTGGAATATGGACTACTGACACGAAAGGCTGTCAAATTGCGGTCGAAATTCGCAAGAAAGATGCAAAAGAGATTTTTCTCACAAAATGGCATCCTGGATAGTTTTTAAGGGTTCAGGGCTAGAAAATACAAATACAAAAAAATCGTTTGCTACTACTGTCTGGAAATTGTGAGAGGTGTCGCAATATATGACTTTGCAATTGACCTCACATTAAGCCACTGCCGAAAATAGAAACTCGCTCAGGTGTTTAATGAAGATTAGAGATAACACTGTGCTGCTACCTGAATCCTTGTCTTTAAGGGGAATGTCAAGAAAATTTGACACAGTGTTCACCTAGTTTGCCAATTAAAGCTCAATGTCTCACAACGCTTGTCATTGGATCTGGAAACCCAAACAATTCACCGCTCTATCAACAACTCTCTGCATAAGCAATCCAGTGTTTTTCACGGTTTCAAATTTGGGATTTTAAGACGTTTGCAGCCAAAAAACTAATGGTCTGAAGATGTGGAAATAATCTCTTTATCATTAAAATCTAACCAGCAGCCTTTATTGGGTATTAGCTGCAAGTTGATTAGCAAACGTTAGGGATAACTTTGCTATAAAAAATTGCTTCATGCGTTCGTTCATCTCTCGTCACGAGTAATTTTCACTGACACCTGAGAAAAAAAGGAATTGGAAAACGGAACTTGTCGGGACTCCGTTTACATCATGTATAAATCATGGTATTATTCACTGTGCAACTGAATTAGTACCTCTCACTTCGATATAGATCTATCTAATTCCCATTAATCCAGAGTACAAAACCGCTAATCTAAAGCGTTATGTTTTAATCATTGTTTGTCCTGAGAACAACCGCAGGCGTCGGCATATGGACTAGTCATCAGAGTATAAAGTCACAGGCTGATTTTTCCTTGAACAGCAGTTTTTCTTTAGCGGTGTAGGTTGAAGACTTTCCTACAGCAGCTCTTCAGAAAAATGATCTCCAAGAAGTTATTCTTTGTGCTTCTGGCTGCAGTACTGATGATTCAGTACTCACAGGCTCGTAGCAGATCACTTCTTGATGAATTGGGTAGGTCTCGACATTGCTCCATCAAAATCGTTTTCATACAAAACGAGGATTGAAACCAAGTTAAGACAAGTTTTTTTCGACCTTTTATTTTTTGTTGTGTTTTTATGTTTATTTTCTGTTAATTCATTGCGGTAGAAATTTTTTCCTTTCAAGTTTTAATTATTATAAGTATCATTAATACCATACCTGTGTACGCGAAGTTGTAACAAAAGTAAGTGCCTTTTGTACTTTCAGTCGGGGAACATAGTCATTTCCGCATTTTAGGTAGTGTGCTACTAATAATATTTTCAAAAAAAACTATTTTCATTACAAGCAGTCTTATCAGTTCCTTCTTATATCTTAAGTGGGTGCTTTTCATTCCAAAATGCAAGCTGTTGCTAAATATAATGTCTATCTAATGTCTAACGTATGTCTTTCCAGCTGTTATTCTTTAACGTTCTTGTGAGTTATTTACATGGCTTAAGGATGTTTCACCTGTAGAATGAGTATAGTTTAAATTCCTTAACAGAGAACAGAATGAATTAAAATGTGACGTGGAAAAACATTGCTTTTCTTCGTATAGTTTCCCAAAGATTTACGTTGAAAGCTACAATAAATGAAATTCATCAGGTAACATTTATGGTTTAATGAATCTTGATTTTTATTGCAGCTATGATGAGCGACGAAGAAACGGACGTGGACATGGATAAAACTAAGAGAAGTACTGATGAATTAATTCTTCATGGGTCTGCTTCAAAAGATAGCTAGGCCCAATCCAAAAATAAGCCGGCAGATATAGTTATGTTTTTTCTATTATTACATTTATTATCATTACCATTACTATTATCAACATCATCAATATTATTATTGCCGTAAATTCTGATATTATCATTATTGTCTTCCTATATATTCGAGAGTATTTAGAAGTATCCCTGGTGCGAAGTCTCATCTTTAGTCTCACAATGTAGTCGTGTCAGAATGTATCATAGGGTTCAGTTTACCTTGTTTCATTGCTTCACATTATCTCCTCATCATCATCGTTATCGCCCTTGTCCTCAAGGCCGTTATCATCACTGTTATTGTCATAATTATTATGATCATAATTAACATTATCAGGACTATCAATATCATTTCTTGTTTTTTGATGACTTTCCAGGTTGCATAGACGAGGGTTCGGCAGCATTCTGCCAAAGATTTAGGAAATTTTGCGCACATTATGGTACCGCGAATCATCGTTACTTAGCAGAGAAATGTCAAGCGACATGCGGACTTTGTGGCTGACTTCATTCACGGGTACCGTCTTACCTTATTCATTAAAATGATAATCAATTTATTAACACATTAACTTCTGTTATTGTAAGATTGACGTAGTCTTCATCCAGGAAGCCTCTTCTAAGCTGTGACGTCGGTCGTTAAATCATGAAGCTATACAAATAAGTTGCAAAACAGATTCCAGGTCCCTTCCGCTCTAATTTAAGAATAACTATTGAAAATTTTTGGACAGGCTTGGCTCTCCATATCGTTGTTTAGTATGATTCAGCCATTGAAGGCGGCCATCCCTTCTTTAGGGAAGTTAGAAGACGAGGTTTTTCTCTAATACATGTTTCCTCCTCACTGTCTAACTTTTGCAAAAGTATTAGGGATAACGCAGCGTAAGTAACTCGCGTGAAACAGAATGTTATCATAACATTTTGTCATGAGATAATACAACTATTCAAATATACATTTTTTCGTGAAAAAAGGAACGAGTCAAGTAATAAGGTTCTTGAGAACCTCTTAATATATGAAAGAGAGAGCTTTGGTAATTTTACCGGCGAAATAGAGGAAGAAAAGCATAGAATTTCAAAACTACCCCCTGAACAAACACAGTATATGAGCCTGTGTTGCCTGGACTGTCTGCATCCCAGAATATTTGCATGCAGAGGTCAAAATGAAGAGGCTACCTGATCACTAGACGGCTACGTTTTCCCAAAAAAATCATTTTTAGCCGTCTTCTATTAGTCATACCATCATTGCTATTACCGATACCATTACTTTTATTGATGGC